CCGGGGGTGGGGGGGTACGGGGGTGCCCCTGGCCATTCCCTCCAGCCAGTGTCCCCCCAAAATCCCAGGGGAGGACCGCTGGGCTTCCAGCCCCACAAGGAATTCCAGCTTCCAGTTGGTTTTCCCTCCCCAGACCTCGCTGTGGTTGGGAGCTCTGGAGTCACCAGCTTTGATTTATTGTCACTGGGGGGGTTTGTTTGCCCCCGGGCACCCCCAGCCCCTCCACCCTGCCCACCCTGGGGAGGGGACCCAAACTCCAGACCCAGCCTCTGCTTTTACCACCCCAGGATGGGGCAAAAAGGGCTCTTCCAAGCCCGGACAAGGTGCTCCCAAGGGTGAAGGATGAAGGGGGGGCTGGGTGGTGATGGTGCTGGCCCCCCCGGCGGGATGGGGCCGGGGTTCGTTTGTTGGGGGTTCATTTTTGAAACCCTCAGGGGAGCCCCAGGAGCCCAGTTCATCCCTTCGGGGGCGGCAAAGCTGTCGGCACTCGGGGTTAGCGGCGGAAAAAGGGAGCCCCCCCGGGAAAAAAAGCTCTTCCCGGGAGGAGGGAAGGGGTGCAGGGGGGTGCTGGGGGTGGGAAGGATGGGGCACCCCCCCGGGCACGGGGCTGGGCACAAGCGGTGGCACCAGGGGCTGCTGTGTGATGGTAGAGCTGTGGGGTTAGGGTATAGAGCACTGCCTGGGGTTATGGGCATCGTGTGGGTGATGGCATCATGTGTGTGTGATGGCGTCACGTGTGATGGCATCATGTGTAATGGCATCACGTGTGTGATGGCATCGTGTGTGCAATGGCATAGTGCATGTGGTGGCATCATGTGTGTGATGGCATCACATGAGCAATGGCTTCGCATGGGCAATGGTATCGCGTGTGCGACAGCATTGTGTGTGCGATGGCATCACGTGTGTGATGGTATCACATGTGTAATGTCATCATGTGCATGATGGTATTGCATGTGTGATGGCATCGTGTGCGTGATGGCATCGTGTGTGTGATGGCATCACATGTGCAATGGCATAGTGCACGTGGTGGCATCATGTGTATGACAGCATCACGTGTGCAATGGCATCACAGGTGCAATGGCTTTGCATGTGCAATGGCACATCACGCGTGTGGGTGGGCATTGCGTGTGTAACGGCATCATGTGTGTGCGAGGGCATTGTCTCCATGATGGTATCACGTGTGCAATGGCATCACGTGCAATGGCATTGTGTGTGCAATGGTATCGCACGCGCAATGGAATTGCATGTGTGATGGCATCTTGCGTGTGATGGCATCACATGTGCAATGGCATCACGTGTGTGATGGCATCGTGTGCATGATGGAATTGCATGTGTGATGGCATCATGTGTGCAATGGCATTACTTGTGCAGTGACATTGTGTGTGTGATGGCATCACATCTGGAATGGCATCATGTGTGTGACACTATCACACGTGCGATGGCATCACGTGTTCCATGGCACCACCTGTGCGATGGCATCGTGTGTGTGATGGCATTGCACGTGCGATGGCATGACATGGCATGACATGTTCGATGGCATCACATGTTCGATGGCATCACATGTTCGATGGCATGACGTGTTCGATGCCATCACCCTCCCGTCCCCCCATGGCACTGCCAGCTCCAGCCCCAGCCCAAGTCTTGTTGTCCCCCCCCATATGGTCTAAGTCTCAACCCTGGGCATCAGGTAGAGGAGCCGGGACCCCCCAAAAGCCAGGATGAGGAGGTGTGTTGGGGTCCTACCAGCAAGCGGGGCCAGGCGTGGGGTGGCAGTGGGGCCTGTCCCCGCTGTCCTAGGGCTGGGCGGTGGCAGCGGTGACCCGGGTGGCCGAGCTCTGCAGGCGCTGGCTCAGCTCCGCGTGGAGGCGGTGGGAGGTGGCATCCAGGGTCTGGGCCAGGTGGCTGGTGAGACGTAGCATGTGGGCCACCACGCGAACCCCCTTCCACAGCCTGGAGGTGGGGAGTGGGGGGGAAAAGCAGGCTCAGTGTCCCCTGTGTCCCCACCGACCTCCCCATCGTGGGGTGTGGAAGGAGATGGTGCAGCACCGAGGGTCCCCAACCCCAGAGAGGAGGTTCCTCAACCCCAGAGAGGAGGTTCCTCAACCCCTCCATCCTGGAGAACATGGTCCATCGTCACGTTGTGGCTCAGCTGAGCTGGGTCACTGGTTTAGGAGTGACAGCCCCCCACTCCTGACACCCCCCAACTCCTGACACCCCCCCCTGCCCTCAGGGGACCCCTCACCGTGGTGGGTTTAGGGCATGGACACCTACATGGACGTTAACAGCAGTGGTTTGCTGAGCATCCAACCCCCACGTGTCACCTGAGAGCCACCACGATGGCTGTGGGACCCTTGGGGACACCCAGCACCCCCCTCCCAGGGTGTCATCCCATGGGTGTTGGGGCACCAGCTCCACGGAGCATCTCCCCTGGTCCATCCCCTCCCCATGGCACCCACTTCTCCTTCTTCTCGGCCGTCCGCGGGTGGTCCACCTTGGCCACGTGAGCCTCCAGCTCCCTGCGGACGTTGTCCAGGCTCTCCTGGAATTCCAGGTTGGCCCCGCGGATGGCGGGCAGCGCCTCGGTGATGATGTCCTGGTAGCGGGTCCCGTTGTCCTCTTGGGTGGCCGCCTCCTCCACCTCCCTCAGGCTGGCCTTGGTGTCCTGCAAGAGGTTCTTGAGATGATCCAGCTCACGGCGAGAGGCAGAGGAGGAGGAGGAGGGCAGCCCGCGGGGGCTGCAGGGGCTGGGGGTGTGGAAGGTGATGCCGCAGCGCTGGGGGTCCGGGGGGGGGTCCCCATCCTGGTGCCCCAACTCCTCCGTCCTGACGCTGGGTGTCACCTCCTCGGGTCCCCCCTGGGAGGTTGGGGGGGGGACGAGGACACAGAGCCCCACCAGCAGCCACCAGCTGAGCCCCC